TTGTCACCCGGTTGAGAGCCTGGATGTCGCCAAACTGGGAGACTCTTAGAGTCGGACTTGGTGAGGTGAGGAGTCACTGTGAGTGGCTGTGGGATGTCTGTGAGAGTGAGTGGAGGGGGCTCATGGGAAGGCCAGGTGAGTTGAGATGGTGGTGAGATTCCAGTTACCTCTTGTACCCCCTCAAACCCTGATACCATACATTTTCCCACCCAGCCCCGATTCGCATCCCTCCCCATCCCATCGCAACATGCGAGTCTCATGTGTGTATCCTACATCTACACCATGTGACTCCCTGATATTCGCCTCTATAATAGCGAGTCAATTCCCCTTTCCTTCCCTTTTCCCCACCCCTTAACTGTTTCCCCCCTTCCCCCCTCCCTCCCCAGCTCCGCACCTGTTTCTCCACCATGGACGAATAGAATACGCCCCTACGGCACTGTCTCGACATCCCTCCCCCACCCGCCGGCCTTCTCATCAATGCACTGCTCCCCTCCTTTCGCTCCTTTACCCACGTACCTCCGCACACATAGGTTCATGCCCCTACAGCACTGTCTCACTGCCCCCCTCATCCCTCTCAAAAGCTCCCCTCCCCCCTCCTTCCGTACCTGTCCTGCTTCTACCACGCCAAATTCTGCCCTACGGTGGTGCTGCACTAGAGATGAGCATTTGCCCCGCTCGGGTCGGGCCGGCCCGACCCGACCCGTGGTTTGGCTTGGGTCGGGTCAGCGGTTTCATTTGCCAGCCCCGTGCGGGCCGACCCGACCCGACCCGGGCTAAAACACGACCCGAGCATGGGACTCGGGCCGAGTCGGGTCGGGTTTCGAGTCAGGCTTGACCCGACCTGAATTCGGGTCAGGAACAGGGAATTCGGGTCGGGCTTTTGGCCCGACCCGATTTCGACACACTGGGGACGAAACCCTAGGTCAAATTGTTGTCGAGGGGTTTTTTATTCCCTCCCCATCAGAACCTACCCATGCTCTCAATCTTGCCTAACGGCAGCAAGCAAGTCACCCAAGCTTAGAAACTACTCAGTTACCACCCGTTCAAACATCATTGACAGACATTTCTAGCTAGTTTACTATCGTATCCTGCTGTTCACGGAAAATCGTGATGCAGGAATGGCCCTTTTTACAAGTTCGCGTTTTACTGAACACACACCCCACTGGACCCTAAACATGGGCGGGTCATCATGGCCCGACCCGACCCGACCCGTACCCGGGTCCAAGTTGACCCGAGTGTGTAGGCCCGGGTCTGGCCAGAACCTACAGGACCCTGGCCCGAGCCTGGCCGGACCCGACCCGACCCGGGAGCCCGTGTGGCCCGGCCAGGTCGGGCCGAGCCAGGCCATTTGCTCATCGCCCGCTTCTCCTGCACCGAGTTCTGGCCCATGACTCCCCGCTTCCTCAACAGGTTCCCGCACTGCTCTCGGGGAACCTGAGGGCTGCGCACTCTTTCCGAGTCTAAGGTTGACGCGTAAATTGGCGTTATGGGGGCACCTGCGGGCTGCTGAGTGCACTCCCTGCCAAGGCTGCACTGCACCTTCCCTTCACCGCCCATTACCCTTCTCCCTCCCCCCTTCCCCTCCACCCCACCCCACGTACCACCAGCTTCGCACTGCACCTGTGTCACCGGCATCCCCTCATAATCCACTGAGCTGTTTACCCTTTCCCCTCTCTCCACTTCCAAACTCCCCCCCTCCCCCCTCCCCGCGCAGCTCCACACCTGCTTCCCTCACACCCATTTGTGCTCCACCGACTCCCTCCCTCCCCCCACCTCCCGGCGCAGGCGCACTGTGCAACCAAACCCAGGCAGAGACCGTGGAGGTGCGTGAGAGGCTGCATGCGAAGCTGGGCTGCCGGGTGCTCCGTGGGGGTGGTTCAGGAGGGACGAGCAGAGGGAGGAGGAGGGGCGGGCTATGTGTGTGTGTGGTAGTGGTCTGATTGATTCTGGTGGGTCACGGGTGTGGTGAAGCTGGGCGGGCTGCTGGGTGCGTCACGGACGAGCAAAGGGAGAAGGAAGTGTGTGGGTGGTGAGGGGGGCGTGAGCTACACGTGCACCCGTGGCAGGTCACTGGTGTGGCTGCACGTCAGGCTGGAGAGGAAGGTGGGGAGGGGGGGGAAGGGGGTGGGGGATCCCGGGTGCCAAGTATCAGTGTTTTTCCTTACACACGATCAGAGGGAGGGGGAAGTGCGTGCGTAGAGAGGGGTGTAAGCTACAGGTCACTTCTGTAGTTGCATGTGAGACTGGGAGGATTTTTTGGGTGCCTTGTGCCTCATGGACGAGCAGAGGAAGGGGGAGGTGGGTGGTGGGAAGGGCTAGTCATGGTTCACCAGCTCATTGCCTGCCCTGTCCCCACATGTGCCCAACTCTCTTAGCTTCTTCGAGGCAGGAGCTACGGTCTAGAATGCAGGAAATCCGTACGCTTGCAGTTCATGTTCCATTTTCTCCCCCTATTCCCAAACCCACTCCCCGCCTTCCCCACCTCTTCCACCGCGTCACTGCGGGTCGCTCCGGCCTGCATCTCTCGCCACTCATCCTTGTTTGCATATGCTCGTTCTCCTCTCCCTGCCATTCATCACCCCACCCACCAACCCACTTCTTTCCAGCTCGTCCAGCCCATCAGAGAACGTGCTACAGCGTGCACCTCCCCCCGCCCTACCTCGCTTTCAATTCCCGTACTACTAGTAGCGGCACCGAAGCTGCCGGAACGATTACCCTCGAGCAGCGTGAACCGATTTGAGGCGTTTCTTCTGCCGCGAAGCGATTCGACAGGCCGCGGCCCGCGCACAGTTTTCCTCACTCAGCAACAGAGTCGCTCCCGAATCCCAGCTTACAAGGCGCCTCAGTCTTCTTCTATCGCTGTCTTGACTCGGCTCGCGCTCGGTGCTTGCTTGGAGCTTCTCGGTATTTTCTCGAAATGGCAGACGAAAGGAGAAGCGCCCTCCAAGCCGAAGCCACCAGTATGGCTCAATTGTTCGCAGATGGTGACGGGGATGGCGATGGTGAGTCGACTGAGTGTATCCACGTCAACGTGATGTTCTCGCCTTTTCTCCCCCGTATCCATTCTTCCCCCTGGCATGCGCCTCCCCTCGCTCTTGATTTGTTCTTCTCGCATCTATCTCGTTTCCTTTTCCCCCTCCGTGTTACTGTTCCGCTTTGCTATGCTGGTTCCCGTGTGCAACGGCGTGGCGTCTGCAGTCGGCCAGGAGCCATTGGCTTGGCAGGATCCAAGGACTCGTCCAGGCAGCAGCAGCAGCCGAAGCGGCGCTGGGTGCTGACGTGCGGTGCAGCAGGGTGAGCTCAAGACTGGTGCAGCGACTGGAGATGACGAGAAGTCGGCGAAGCGCAGGTGGGGTGTAGAAAGACGGGAAGAAATGAGTAGACAGGAGCGAGTCGAGAGATGGGACAGGGGCAGGTGCACGCACAAGCAGGCGGGAGTGGGGTATTGTGAAGCGTGGGCGTGTGAGTATGCTGCACCGAGGTTGGATGGCACACGGGGGTGGCGGGGGAACACATGCTTGCAAGCTGCGTGGTCGAAGGAAGGGACGAGAAGAGAAGTGGCATCAAGCAGGTGGCGCTGCAGCCACCACCGCTACCTCTGCTGCTGCTGCCCATGCTGGTGCCCCTTCGTCTGCAGCAATGTGCTGTATTGTCACAGGAGGGAGTGCAGCAAAGCATGGGGAGGATACTCCCCTTACATAACGCCACAGTCAAGAACGGAAGGAGCGGACTGGGAAGAGCGGGAAAGAGACGAGCGGAACGTGAGAGGAGGAGGGACGGAGGAGGACGAAGATTCCCGACAGTAGCGTCTTGAAAGGGCAGGCCAACGGGTAAGGGGCCTCGAGGCTGGAGCGACAGCTGTTCGGCAAAGGCCTTTGCGATGCCGATGGCGATGGTGAGTTGACCTCTAGTAGCATAACCGCCACGTCACCATGACGCTCTCTTCGGCTCGCTCCCTCCCGTGTCTCTCTCATACACCCCCTTCCCCCGCATGCCCTCACATGCCCCACGTTCGAGAATTTTAACTATGTGCCCTCTTTTCCCATGATGCGCTTCCCGCCTTCCCCACTTTCTCCGCCGTCCCTGCTCTCCTCGTTAAGGCTCAAGGGATGATGACAACCTGAGGCTTTAACCTGTGGACGCAACAGGTTATAGCCTTTCATTCAAGTCCGCTCATGTGTTACACGGCGCCGCGCCGTCCGCCGACTGACACATGCACCTTCCAGCCTTCCCCGCAGATGCTTGGCAGTCAAAGTCGCAGCAATCAGGTGCTTCATGGGTCCACTGGATGGATAGCCACAGCAAAGCCCACCTGCGCTGTGCCCATGTATTCCTTCCCTAACCTCCTTCCCTTCATCCCTCCACCACGCTACGCTTCCGCCTTTCCATGTTGTCACCATGACACAAGTATGGCGGTCCCGAGCCAAAGGCTCGTCGAGGAAGCTGCAGCCACAACAGCCGCCGAGGCACAGGCTGCATCTGGATGCTGACGTGGATGGCAGCAGGGACATGAGTGGCGTGACCGGAGCTGACTAGAGGCCGGCAACGGTGCAGCGAGGCTACGAGGTGCAATGGAGCGGTAGTGGAGTGGGGCAGCAGTGGAGTCAACCAGGGCAGGTACTACCCGTGGAGGAGAGGGGGTGGGCAGACAGAGACGAACGGGCTGTCTGGTGCGAGGCAAGAGAGGGGGCAGGGGCACAAGCAGGCAGAGCTGGGGCATAGATACGCGTGGGCTTGGTTGGCATGTGAGCATGATGTTCAATGGTCTAAAGGTGCACGGGAGAGACGAGAGAACGCATGCTAAGCATGGCAGGGGCGAGATGGCTGGCGGAAGGAAGGGGCGATGAGCGACATGAATGAAGCAGGAGGCACTGCCGGTGCTGCTGGTGCCTGTGCGGGAGCCCCTTATCTGCAGCGACGAGCCGCATTGGAGCGGGAGAGAGCGTGGCAAGCCCTGGCGGGAAGGATGGATACTATCCTCGCATAATGCCCCGACCAAGCTAGGATGCACAGTCGCTTTCTCGCCCACCCTCCTCTCCTCCCTCCACCTCCCAGTCATCACCGAGTTTCAGCAGCTGACGTGGCAACTCCTGGGCCTGCCACCTGGCGATGGCAGTGGCGCCACTGTGGGGAATATAGGTGGCAGGGAAGCGGCCCAGTGGGTGATGTGCAGATGGCAACGTTGTTAAGTGGGAAATGGGGTGAAGTGCTCCCATCTTTCGTGGACAGGAGCAACAGCTGAGAGCAGCAGGTGATAGCAGCAGGGAGGAAAAGGCAGGATGATCAAAGTAAGCAAGGTCCGCTTTATGTGAGGATGAGACGTGTGAATGCTCTCAGGCAGCAGATACTGCTGGGTTAACATGCAACGGGGGATGGTGATGAAATTGCAGAACCAGGGAAAGGGTTTTTTTTCGCTATGCATGCTGTAAGAGTCGCTGTGTGCATGCAGATTGAGGAGTTTTCAGTCCGCATGCATCGATATTCCGATCGTCTCAGCGTCCTCAGAAATGACAGTTCCTTTGCTTTGTCAATTCCCCATAGACTTTGTTTCCCTTTCTTCATTTTTGCTCTTATTTGGGAGAATCAGCTGGAAGCAAACTCTTGATCAATACCCTGCTAGTCCCTCACTTGCCCTTTTCTGTGCCCAACTCCTCCTGACTGTGAGTTGTTCCCCAATTTTTTTCCAGGTCTCTCACACAACCCCTTCCCTGCCCATCCCGCCCATCTCACCCATCCCGCCCATCTCACCCATCCCGCCCATCTCACCCATCCCGCCCATCTCACCCATCCCGCCCATCTCACCCATCCCGCCCATCTCACCCATCCCGCCCATCTCACCCATCCCGCCCATCTCACCCATCCCGCCCATCTCACCCATCCTGCCCATCTCACCCATCTTGCCCATCTCACCCATCCCGCCCATCTCACCCATCTTGCCCATCTCACCCATCCCGCCCATCTCACCCATCCTGCCCATCTCACCCATCTTGCCCATCTCACCCATCTTGCCCATCTCACCCATCCCGCCCATCTCACCCATCTTGCCCATCTCACCCATCCCGCCCATCTCACCCATCTTGCCCATCTCACCCATCCCGCCCATCTCACCCATCCTGCCCATCTCACCCATCTTGCCCATCTCACCCATCCCGCCCATCTCACCCATCCCGCCCATCTCACCCATCCCGCCCATCTCACCCATCTTGCCCATCTCACCCATCCCGCCCATCTCACCCATCTTGCCCATCTCACCCATCCCGCCCATCTCACCCATCTTGCCCATCTCACCCATCTTGCCCATCTCACCCATCCCGCCCATCTCACCCATCCCGCCCATCTCACTCATCCCGCCCATCTCACCCATCCCGCCCATCTCACCCATCTTGCCCATCTCACCCATCCCGCCCATCTCACCCATCCCGCCCATCTCACCCATCTTGCCCATCTCACCCATCCCGCCCATCTCACCCATCTTGCCCATCTCACCCATCCCGCCCATCTCACCCATCCTGCCCATCTCACCCATCCCGCCCATCTCACCCATCCCGCCCATCTCACCCATCCCGCCCATCTCACCCATCCCGCCCATCTCACCCATCCTGCCCATCTCACCCATCCCGCCCATCTCACCCATCCCGCCCATCTCACCCATCCCGCCCATCTCACCCATCCCGCCCATCTCACCCATCCCGCCCATCTCACCCATCTTGCCCATGTCACCCATCCCGCCCAACTCACCCATCCCGCCCATCTCACCCATCTTGCCCATCTCACCCATCCCGCCCCTCTCACCCATCTTGCCCATCTCACCCATCCCGCCCATCTCACCCATCCTGCCCATCTCACCCATCCCGCCCATCTCACCCATCCCGCCCATCTCACCCATCCCGCCCATCTCACCCATCCCGCCCATCTCACCCATCTTGCCCATCTCACCCATCCCGCCCATCTCACCCATCCCGCCCATCTCACCCATCCCGCCCATCTCACCCATCCCGCCCATCTCACCCATCCTGCCCATCTCACCCATCCCGCCCATCTCACCCATCTTGCCCATCTCACCCATCCCGCCCATCTCACCCATCCTGCCCATCTCACCCATCTTGCCCATCTCACCCATCCCGCCCATCTCACCCATCCCGCCCATCTCACCCATCCCGCCCATCTCACCCATCCCGCCCATCTCACCCATCTTGCCCATCTCACCCATCCCGCCCATCTCACCCATCCCGCCCAGCTCACCCATCTTGCCCAGCTCACCCATCCCGCCCATCTCACCCATCCCGCCCATCTCACCCATCCCGCCCATCTCACCCATCCCGCCCATCTCACCCATCCCGCCCATCTCACCCATCTTGCCCATCTCACCCATCCCGCCCATCTCACCCATCCTGCCCATCTCACCCATCTTGCCCATCTCACCCATCCCGCCCATCTCACCCATCCCGCCCATCTCACACATCCCGCCCATCTCACCCATCCCGCCCATCTCACCCATCTTGCCCATCTCACCCATCCCGCCCATCTCACCCATCCCGCCCATCTCACCCATCTTGCCCATCTCACCCATCCCGCCCATCTCACCCATCCTGCCCATCTCACCCATCCCGCCCATCTCACCCATCTTGCCCATCTCACCCATCCCGCCCATCTCACCCATCCTGCCCATCTCACCCATCTTGCCCATCTCACCCATCCCGCCCATCTCACCCATCCCGCCCATCTCACCCATCCCGCCCATCTCACCCATCTTGCCCATCTCACCCATCCCGCCCATCTCACCCATCTTGCCCATCTCACCCATCCCGCCCATCTCACCCATCCTGCCCATCTCACCCATCTTGCCCATCTCACCCATCCCGCCCATCTCACCCATCCCGCCCATCTCACCCATCCCGCCCATCTCACCCATCCCGCCCATCTCACCCATCTTGCCCATCTCACCCATCCCGCCCATCTCACCCATCCCGCCCATCTCACCCATCTTGCCCATCTCACCCATCCCGCCCATCTCACCCATCCCGCCCATCTCACCCATCTTGCCCATCTCACCCATCCCGCCCATCTCACCCATCCTGCCCATCTCACCCATCTTGCCCATCTCACCCATCCCGCCCATCTCACCCATCCCACCCATCTCACACATCCCGCCCATCTCACCCATCCCGCCCATCTCACCCATCTTGCCCATCTCACCCATCCCGCCCATCTCACCCATCCCGCCCATCTCACCCATCTTGCCCATCTCACCCATCCCGCCCATCTCACCCATCCTGCCCATCTCACCCATCCCGCCCATCTCACCCATCTTGCCCATCTCACCCATCCCGCCCATCTCACCCATCCTGCCCATCTCACCCATCTTGCCCATCTCACCCATCCCGCCCATCTCACCCATCCCGCCCATCTCACCCATCCCGCCCATCTCACCCATCCCGCCCATCTCACCCATCTTGCCCATCTCACCCATCCCGCCCATCTCACCCATCCCGCCCAGCTCACCCATCTTGCCCATCTCACCCATCCCGCCCATCTCACCCATCCTGCCCATCTCACCCATCTTGCCCATCTCACCCATCCCGCCCATCTCACCCATCTTGCCCATCTCACCCATCCCGCCCATCTCACCCATCCTGCCCATCTCACCCATCTTGCCCATCTCACCCATCTTGCCCATCTCACCCATCCCGCCCATCTCACCCATCTTGCCCATCTCACCCATCCCGCCCATCTCACCCATCCTGCCCATCTCACCCATCTTGCCCATCTCACCCATCCCGCCCATCTCACCCATCCCGCCCATCTCACCCATCCTGCCCATCTCACCCATCTTGCCCATCTCACCCATCCCGCCCATCTCACCCATCCCGCCCATCTCACCCATCCCGCCCATCTCACCCATCCTGCCCATCTCACCCATCTTGCCCATCTCACCCATCCCGCCCATCTCACCCATCCCGCCCATCTCACCCATCTTGCCCATCTCACCCATCCCGCCCATCTCACCCATCCTGCCCATCTCACCCATCTTGCCCATCTCACCCATCCCGCCCAGCTCACCCATCTTGCCCATCTCACCCATCCCGCCCATCTCACCCATCCTGCCCATCTCACCCATCTTGCCCATCTCACCCATCCCGCCCATCTCACCCATCCCGCCCATCTCACCCATCCCGCCCATCTCACCCATCCTGCCCATCTCACCCATCTTGCCCATCTCACCCATCCCGCCCATCTCACCCATCCCGCCCATCTCACCCATCTTGCCCATCTCACCCATCCCGCCCATCTCACCCATCCTGCCCATCTCACCCATCTTGCCCATCTCACCCATCCCGCCCATCTCACCCATCTTGCCCATCTCACCCATCCCGCCCATCTCACCCATCCCGCCCATCTCACCCATCTTGCCCATCTCACCCATCCCGCCCATCTCACCCATCCTGCCCATCTCACCCATCCCGCCCATCTCACCCATCTTGCCCATCTCACCCATCCCGCCCATCTCACCCATCCTGCCCATCTCACCCATCTTGCCCATCTCACCCATCCCGCCCATCTCACCCATCCCGCCCATCTCACCCATCCCGCCCATCTCACCCATCCCGCCCATCTCACCCATCTTGCCCATCTCACCCATCCCGCCCATCTCACCCATCCCGCCCAGCTCACCCATCTTGCCCATCTCACCCATCCCGCCCATCTCACCCATCCTGCCCATCTCACCCATCTTGCCCATCTCACCCATCCCGCCCATCTCACCCATCTTGCCCATCTCACCCATCCCGCCCATCTCACCCATCCTGCCCATCTCACCCATCTTGCCCATCTCACCCATCTTGCCCGTCTCACCCATTCCGCCCATCTCACCCATCTTGCCCATCTCACCCATCCCGCCCATCTCACCCATCTTGCCCATCTCACCCATCCCGCCCATCTCACCCATCCTGCCCATCTCACCCATCTTGCCCATCTCACCCATCCCGCCCATCTCACCCATCCCGCCCATCTCACCCATCCTGCCCATCTCACCCATCCCGCCCATCTCACCCATCCCGCCCATCTCACCCATCCCGCCCATCTCACCCATCCCGCCCATCTCACCCATCCCGCCCATCTCACCCATCTTGCCCATCTCACCCATCCCGCCCATCTCACCCATCCCGCCCATCTGACCCATCTTGCCCATCTCACCCATCCCGCCCATCTCACCCATCTTGCCCATCTCACCCATCCCGCCCATCTCACCCATCCTGCCCATCTCACCCATCCCGCCCATCTCACCCATCCCGCCCATCTCACCCATCCCGCCCATCTCACCCATCCCGCCCATCTCACCCATCTTGCCCATCTCACCCATCCCGCCCATCTCACCCATCCCGCCCATCTCACCCATCCCGCCTATCTCACCCATCCCGCCCATCTCACCCATCCTGCCCATCTCACCCATCCCGCCCATCTCACCCATCTTGCCCATCTCACCCATCCCGCCCATCTCACCCATCCTGCCCATCTCACCCATCTTGCCCATCTCACCCATCCCGCCCATCTCACCCATCCCGCCCATCTCACCCATCCCGCCCATCTCACCCATCCCGCCCATCTCACCCATCTTGCCCATCTCACCCATCCCGCCCATCTCACCCATCCCGCCCAGCTCACCCATCTTGCCCAGCTCACCCATCCCGCCCATCTCACCCATCCCGCCCATCTCACCCATCCCGCCCATCTCACCCATCCCGCCCATCTCACCCATCCCGCCCATCTCACCTATCTTGCCCATCTCACCCATCCCGCCCATCTCACCCATCCCGCCCATCTCACCCATCTTGCCCATCTCACCCATCCCGCCCATCTCACCCATCCCGCCCATCTCACCCATCTTGCCCATCTCACCCATCCCGCCCATCTCACCCATCCTGCCCATCTCACCCATCTTGCCCATCTCACCCATCCCGCCCATCTCACCCATCCCGCCCATCTCACACATCCCGCCCATCTCACCCATCCCGCCTATCTCACCCATCTTGCCCATCTCACCCATCCCGCCCATCTCACCCATCCCGCCCATCTCACCCATCTTGCCCATCTCACCCATCCCGCCCATCTCACCCATCCTGCCCATCTCACCCATCCCGCCCATCTCACCCATCTTGCCCATCTCACCCATCCCGCCCATCTCACCCATCCTGCCCATCTCACCCATCTTGCCCATCTCACCCATCCCGCCCATCTCACCCATCCCGCCCATCTCACCCATCCCGCCCATCTCACCCATCCCGCCCATCTCACCCATCTTGCCCATCTCACCCATCCCGCCCATCTCACCCATCCTGCCCATCTCACCCATCCCGCCCATCTCACCCATCTTGCCCATCTCACCCATCCCGCCCATCTCACCCATCCTGCCCATCTCACCCATCTTGCCCATCTCACCCATCCCGCCCATCTCACCCATCCCGCCCATCTCACCCATCCCGCCCATCTCACCCATCTTGCCCATCTCACCCATCCCGCCCATCTCACCCATCTTGCCCATCTCACCCATCCCGCCCATCTCACCCATCCCGCCCATCTCACCCATCCCGCCCATCTCACCCATCCCGCCCATCTCACCCATCCCGCCCATCTCACCCATCCCGCCCATCTCACCCATCTTGCCCATCTCACCCATCCCGCCCATCTCACCCATCCTGCCCATCTCACCCATCTTGCCCATCTCACCCATCCCGCCCATCTCACCCATCCCGCCCATCTCACCCATCCCGCCCATCTCACCCATCTTGCCCATCTCACCCATCCCGCCCATCTCACCCATCTTGCCCATCTCACCCATCCCGCCCATCTCACCCATCCTGCCCATCTCACCCATCTTGCCCATCTCACCCATCCCGCCCATCTCACCCATCCCGCCCAGCTAACCCATCTTGCCCATCTCACCCATCCCGCCCATCTCACCCATCCTGCCCATCTCACCCATCTTGCCCATCTCACCCATCCCGCCCATCTCACCCATCTTGCCCATCTCACCCATCCCGCCCATCTCACCCATCCTGCCCATCTCACCCATCTTGCCCATCTCACCCATCTTGCCCATCTCACCCATTCCGCCCATCTCACCCATCTTGCCCATCTCACCCATCCCGCCCATCTCACCCATCTTGCCCATCTCACCCATCCCGCCCATCTCACCCATCCTGCCCATCTCACCCATCTTGCCCATCTCACCCATCCCGCCCATCTCACCCATCCCGCCCATCTCACCCATCCTGCCCATCTCACCCATCCCGCCCATCTCACCCATCCCGCCCATCTCACCCATCCCGCCCATCTCACCCATCCCGCCCATCTCACCCATCCCGCCCATCTCACCCATCTTGCCCATCTCACCCATCCCGCCCATCTCACCCATCCCGCCCATCTCACCCATCTTGCCCATCTCACCCATCCCACCCATCTCACCCATCTTGCCCATCTCACCCATCCCGCCCATCTCACCCATCCTGCCCATCTCACCCATCCCGCCCATCTCACCCATCCCGCCCATCTCACCCATCCCGCCCATCTCACCCATCCCGCCCATCTCACCCATCTTGCCCATCTCACCCATCCCGCCCATCTCACCCATCCCGCCCATCTCACCCATCCCGCCCATCTCACCCATCCCGCCCATCTCACCCATCCTGCCCATCTCACCCATCCCGCCCATCTCACCCATCTTGCCCATCTCACCCATCCCGCCCATCTCACCCATCCTGCCCATCTCACCCATCTTGCCCATCTCACCCATCCCGCCCATCTCACCCATCCCGCCCATCTCACCCATCCTGCCCATCTCACCCATCCCGCCCATCTCACCCATCTTGCCCATCTCACCCATCCCGCCCATCTCACCCATCCCGCCCAGCTCACCCATCTTGCCCAGCTCACCCATCCCGCCCATCTCACCCATCCCGCCCATCTCACCCATCCCGCCCATCTCACCCATCCCGCCCATCTCACCCATCCCGCCCATCTCACCCATCTTGCCCATCTCACCCATCCCGCCCATCTCACCCATCCCGCCCATCTCACCCATCTTGCCCATCTCACCCATCCCGCCCATCTCACCCATCCCGCCCATCTCACCCATCTTGCCCATCTCACCCATCCCGCCCATCTCACCCATCCTGCCCATCTCACCCATCTTGCCCATCTCACCCATCCCGCCCATCTCACCCATCCCGCCCATCTCACACATCCCGCCCATCTCACCCATCCCGCCCATCTCACCCATCTTGCCCATCTCACCCATCCCGCCCATCTCACCCATCCCGCCCATCTCACCCATCTTGCCCATCTCACCCATCCCGCCCATCTCACCCATCCTGCCCATCTCACCCATCCCGCCCATCTCACCCATCTTGCCCATCTCACCCATCCCGCCCATCTCACCCATCCTGCCCATCTCACCCATCTTGCCCATCTCACCCATCCCGCCCATCTCACCCATCCCGCCCATCTCACCCATCCCGCCCATCTCACCCATCCCGCCCATCTCACCCATCTTGCCCATCTCACCCATCCCGCCCATCTCACCCATCCTGCCCATCTCACCCATCCCGCCCATCTCACCCATCTTGCCCATCTCACCCATCCCGCCCATCTCACCCATCCTGCCCATCTCACCCATCTTGCCCATCTCACCCATCCCGCCCATCTCACCCATCCCGCCCATCTCACCCATCCCGCCCATCTCACCCATCTTGCCCATCTCACCCATCCCGCCCATCTCACCCATCTTGCCCATCTCACCCATCCCGCCCATCTCACCCATCCTGCCCATCTCACCCATCTTGCCCATCTCACCCATCCCGCCCATCTCACCCATCCCGCCCATCTCACCCATCCCGCCCATCTCACCCATCCCGCCCATCTCACCCATCCCGCCCATCTCACCCATCTTGCCCATCTCACCCATCCCGCCCAACTCACCCATCCCGCCCATCTCACCCATCTTGCCCATCTCACCCATCCCGCCCATCTCACCCATCTTGCCCATCTCACCCATCCCGCCCATCTCACCCATCCTGCCCATCTCACCCATCCCGCCCATCTCACCCATCCCGCCCATCTCACCCATCCCGCCCATCTCACCCATCCCGCCCATCTCACCCATCTTGCCCATCTCACCCATCCCGCCCATCTCACCCATCCCGCCCATCTCACCCATCCCGCCCATCTCACCCATCCCGCCCATCTCACCCATCCTGCCCATCTCACCCATCCCGCCCATCTCACCCATCTTGCCCATCTCACCCATCCCGCCCATCTCACCCATCCTGCCCATCTCACCCATCTTGCCCATCTCACCCATCCCGCCCATCTCACCCATCCTGCCCATCTCACCCATCCCGCCCATCTCACCCATCCCGCCCATCTCACCCATCTTGCCCATCTCACCCATCCCGCCCATCTCACCCATCCCGCCCAGCTCACCCATCTTGCCCAGCTCACCCATCCCGCCCATCTCACCCATCCCGCCCATCTCACCCATCCCGCCCATCTCACCCATCCCGCCCATCTCACCCATCCCGCCCATCTCACCCATCTTGCCCATCTCACCCATCCCGCCCATCTCACCCATCCTGCCCATCTCACCCATCTTGCCCATCTCACCCATCCCGCCCATCTCACCCATCCCGCCCATCTCACACATCCCGCCCATCTCACCTATCCCGCCCATCTCACCCATCTTGCCCATCTCACCCATCCCGCCCATCTCACCCATCCCGCCCATCTCACCCATCTTGCCCATCTCACCCATCCCGCCCATCTCACCCATCCTGCCCATCTCACCCATCCCGCCCATCTCACCCATCTTGCCCATCTCACCCATCCCGCCCATCTCACCCATCCTGCCCATCTCACCCATCTTGCCCATCTCACCCATCCCGCCCATCTCACCCATCCCGCCCATCTCACCCATCCCGCCCATCTCACCCATCCCGCCCATCTCACCCATCCCGCCCATCTCACCCATCTTGCCCATCTCACCCATCCCGCCCATCTCACCCATCCCGCCCATCTCACCCATCTTGCCCATCTCACCATCCCGCCCATCTCACCCATCCCGCCCATCTCACCCATCTTGCCCATCTCACCCATCCCGCCCATCTCACCCATCCTGCCCATCTCACCCATCTTGCCCATCTCACCCATCCCGCCCATCTCACCCATCCCGCCCATCTCACACATCCCGCCCATCTCACCCATCCCGCCCATCTCACCCATCTTGCCCATCTCACCCATCCCGCCCATCTCACCCATCCCGCCCATCTCACCCATCTTGCCCATCTCACCCATCCCGCCCATCTCACCCATCCCGCCCATCTCACCCATCTTGCCCATCTCACCCATCCCGCCCATCTCACCCATCCTGCCCATCTCACCCATCTTGCCCATCTCACCCATCCCGCCCATCTCACCCATCCCGCCCATCTCACACATCCCGCCCATCTCACCCATCCCGCCCATCTCACCCATCTTGCCCATCTCACCCATCCCGCCCATCTCACCCATCCCGCCCATCTCACCCATCTTGCCCATCTCACCCATCCCGCCCATCTCACCCATCCTGCCCATCTCACCCATCCCGCCCATCTCACCCATCTTGCCCATCTCACCCATCCCGCCCATCTCACCCATCCTGCCCATCTCACCCATCTTGCCCATCTCACCCATCCCGCCCATCTCACCCATCCCGCCCATCTCACCCATCCCGCCCATCTCACCCATCCCGCCCATCTCACCCATCTTGCCCATCTCACCCATCGCGCCCATCTCACCCATCCTGCCCATCTCACCCATCCCGCCCATCTCACCCATCTTGCCCATCTCACCCATCCCGCCCATCTCACCCATCCTGCCCATCTCACCCATCTTGCCCATCTCACCCATCCCGCCCATCTCACCCATCCCGCCCATCTCACCCATCCCGCCCATCTCACCCATCTTGCCCATCTCACCCATCCCGCCCATCTCACCCATCTTGCCCATCTCACCCATCCCGCCCATCTCACCCATCCTGCCCATCTCACCCATCTTGCCCATCTCACCCATCCCGCCCATCTCACCCATCCCGCCCATCTCACCCATCCCGCCCATCTCACCCATCCCGCCCATCTCACCCATCCCGCCCATCTCACCCATCTTGCCCATCTCACCCATCCCGCCCAACTCACCCATCCCGCCCATCTCACCCATCTTGCCCATCTCACCCATCCCGCCCATCTCACCCATCTTGCCCATCTCACCCATCCCGCCCATCTCACCCATCCTGCCCATCTCACCCATCCCGCCCATCTCACCCATCCCGCCCATCTCACCCATCCCGCCCATCTCACCCATCCCGCCCATCTCACCCATCTTGCCCATCTCACCCATCCCGCCCATCTCACCCATCCCGCCCATCTCACCCATCCCGCCCATCTCACCCATCCCGCCCATCTCACCCATCCTGCCCATCTCACCCATCCCGCCCATCTCACCCATCTTGCCCATCTCACCCATCCCGCCCATCTCACCCATCCTGCCCATCTCACCCATCTTGCCCATCTCACCCATCCCGCCCATCTCACCCATCCTGCCCATCTCACCCATCCCGCCCATCTCACCCATCCCGCCCATCTCACCCATCTTGCCCATCTCACCCATCCCGCCCATCTCACCCATCCCGCCCAGCTCACCCATCTTGCCCAGCTCACCCATCCCGCCCATCTCACCCATCCCGCCCATCTCACCCATCCCGCCCATCTCACCCATCCCGCCCATCTCACCCATCCCGCCCATCTCACCCATCTTGCCCATCTCACCCATCCCGCCCATCTCACCCATCCTGCCCATCTCACCCATCTTGCCCATCTCACCCATCCCGCCCATCTCACCCATCCCGCCCATCTCACACATCCCGCCCATCTCACCTATCCCGCCCATCTCACCCATCTTGCCCATCTCACCCATCCCGCCCATCTCACCCATCCCGCCCATCTCACCCATCTTGCCCATCTCACCCATCCCGCCCATCTCACCCATCCTGCCCATCTCACCCATCCCGCCCATCTCACCCATCTTGCCCATCTCACCCATCCCGCCCATCTCACCCATCCTGCCCATCTCACCCATCTTGCCCATCTCACCCATCCCGCCCATCTCACCCATCCCGCCCATCTCACCCATCCCGCCCATCTCACCCATCTTGCCCATCTCACCCATCCCGCCCATCTCACCCATCTTGCCCATCTCACCCATCCCGCCCATCTCACCCATCCTGCCCATCTCACCCATCTTGCCCATCTCACCCATCCCGCCCATCTCACCCATCCCGCCCATCTCACCCATCCCGCCCATCTCACCCATCCCGCCCATCTCACCCATCTTGCCCATCTCACCCATCCCGCCCATCTCACCCATCCCGCCCATCTCACCCATCTTGCCCATCTCACCCATCCCGCCCATCTCACCCATCCCGCCCATCTCACCCATCTTGCCCATCTCACCCATCCCGCCCATCTCACCCATCCTGCCCATCTCACCCATCTTGCCCATCTCACCCATCCCGCCCATCTCACCCATCCCGCCCATCTCACACATCCCGCCCATCTCACCCATCCCGCCCATCTCACCCATCTTGCCCATCTCACCCATCCCGCCCATCTCACCCATCCCGCCCATCTCACCCATCTTGCCCATCTCACCCATCCCGCCCATCTCACCCATCCTGCCCATCTCACCCATCCCGCCCATCTCACCCATCTTGCCCATCTCACCCATCCCGCCCATCTCACCCATCCTGCCCATCTCACCCATCTTGCCCATCTCACCCATCCCGCCCATCTCACCCATCCCGCCCATCTCACCCATCCCGCCCATCTCACCCATCCCGCCCATCTCACCCATCTTGCCCATCTCACCCATCCCGCCCATCTCACCCATCCCGCCCAGCTCACCCATCTTGCCCATCTCACCCATCCCGCCCATCTCACCCATCCTGCCCATCTCACCCATCTTGCCCATCTCACCCATCCCGCCCATCTCACCCATCTTGCCCATCTCACCCATCCCGCCCATCTCACCCATCCTGCCCATCTCACCCATCTTGCCCATCTCACCCATCTTGCCCATCTCACCCATCCCGCCCATCTCACCCATCTTGCCCATCTCACCCATCCCGCCCATCTCACCCATCTTGCCCATCTCACCCATCCCGCCCATCTCACCCATCCTGCCCATCTCACCCATCTTGCCCATCTCACCCATCCCGCCCATCTCACCCATCCCGCCCATCTCACCCATCCCGCCCATCTCACCCATCCTGCCCATCTCACCCATCTTGCCCATCTCACCCATCCCGCCCATCTCACCCATCCCGCCCATCTCACCCATCTTGCCCATCTCACCCATCCCGCCCATCTCACCCATCCCGCCCATCTCACCCATCTTGCCCATCTCACCCATCCCGCCCATCTCACCCATCTTGCCCATCTCACCCATCCCGCCCATCTCACCCATCCCGCCCATCTCACCCATCTTGCCCATCTCACCCATCCCGCCCATCTCACCCATCCTGCCCATCTCACCCATCCCGCCCATCTCACCCATCTTGCCCATCTCACCCATCCCGCCCATCTCACCCATCCTGCCCATCTCACCCATCTTGCCCATCTCACCCATCCCGCCCATCTCACCCATCCCGCCCATCTCACCCATCCCGCCCATCTCACCCATCCCGCCCATCTCACCCATCTTGCCCATCTCACCCATCCCGCCCATCTCACCCATCCCGCCCAGCTCACCCATCTTGCCCATCTCACCCATCCCGCCCATCTCACCCATCCTGCCCATCTCACCCATCTTGCCCATCTCACCCATCCCGCCCATCTCACCCATCTTGCCCATCTCACCCATCCCGCCCATCTCACCCATCCTGCCCATCTCACCCATCTTGCCCATCTCACCCATCTTGCCCATCTCACCCATCCCGCCCATCTCACCCATCTTGCCCATCTCACCCATCCCGCCCATCTCACCCATCCTGCCCATCTCACCCATCTTGCCCATCTCACCCATCCCGCCCATCTCACCCATCCCGCCCATCTCACCCATCCTGCCCATCTCACCCATCCCGCCCATCTCACCCATCCCGCCCATCTCACCCATCCCGCCCATCTCACCCATCCCGCCCATCTCACCCATCCCGCCCATCTCACCCATCTTGCCCATCTCACCCATCCCGCCCATCTCACCCATCCCGCCCATCTCACCCATCTTGCCCATCTCACCCATCCCGCCCATCTCACCCATCTTGCCCATCTCACCCATCCCGCCCATCTCACCCATCCTGCCCATCTCACCCATCCCGCCCATCTCACCCATCCCGCCCATCTCACCCATCCCGCCCATCTCACCCATCCCGCCCATCTCACCCATCTTGCCCATCTCACCCATCCCGCCCATCTCACCCATCCCGCCCATCTCACCCATCCCGCCCATCTCACCCATCCCGCCCATCTCACCCATCCTGCCCATCTCACCCATCCCGCCCATCTCACCCATCTTGCCCATCTCACCCATCCCGCCCATCTCACCCATCCTGCCCATCTCACCCATCTTGCCCATCTCACCCATCCCGCCCATCTCACCCATCCCGCCCATCTCACCCATCCCGCCCATCTCACCCATCCCGCCCATCTCACCCATCTTGCCCATCTCACCCATCCCGCCCATCTCACCCATCCCGCCCAGCTCACCCATCTTGCCCAGCTCACCCATCCCGCCCATCTCACCCATCCCGCCCATCTCACCCATCCCGCCCATCTCACCCATCCCGCCCATCTCACCCATCCCGCCCATCTCACCCATCTTGCCCATCTCACCCATCCCGCCCATCTCACCCATCCTGCCCATCTCACCCATCTTGCCCATCTCACCCATCCCGCCCATCTCACCCATCCCGCCCATCTCACACATCCCGCCCATCTCACCCATCCCGCCCATCTCACCCATCTTGCCCATCTCACCCATCCCGCCCATCTCACCCATCCCGCCCATCTCACCCATCTTGCCCATCTCACCCATCCCGCCCATCTCACCCATCCCGCCCATCTCACCCATCTTGCCCATCTCACCCATCCCGCCCATCTCACCCATCCTGCCCATCTCACCCATCCCGCCCATCTCACCCATCTTGCCCATCTCACCCATCCCGCCCATCTCACCCATCCTGCCCATCTCACCCATCTTGCCCATCTCACCCATCCCGCCCATCTCACCCATCCCGCCCATCTCACCCATCCCGCCCATCTCACCCATCTTGCCCATCTCACCCATCCCGCCCATCTCACCCATCTTGCCCATCTCACCCATCCCGCCCATCTCACCCATCCTGCCCATCTCACCCATCTTGCCCATCTCACCCATCCCGCCCATCTCACCCATCCCGCCCATCTCACCCATCCCGCCCATCTCACCCATCCCGCCCATCTCACCCATCTTGCCCATCTCACCCATCCCGCCCATCTCACCCATCCCGCCCATCTCACCCATCTTGCCCATCTCACCCATCCCGCCCATCTCACCCATCCCGCCCATCTCACCAATCTTGCCCATCTCACCCATCCCGCCCATCTCACCCATCCTGCCCATCTCACCCATCTTGCCCATCTCACCCATCCCGCCCATCTCACCCATCCCGCCCATCTCACACATCCCGCCCATCTCACCCATCCCGCCCATCTCACCCATCTTGCCCATCTCACCCATCCCGCCCATCTCACCCATCCCGCCCATCTCACCCATCTTGCCCATCTCACCCATCCCGCCCATCTCACCCATCCTGCCCATCTCACCCATCCCGCCCATCTCACCCATCTTGCCCATCTCACCCATCCCGCCCATCTCACCCATCCTGCCCATCTCACCCATCTTGCCCATCTCACCCATCCCGCCCATCTCACCCATCCCGCCCATCTCACCCATCCCGCCCATCTCACCCATCCCGCCCATCTCACCCATCTTGCCCATCTCACCCATCCCGCCCATCTCACCCATCCCACCCAGCTCACCCATCTTGCCCATCTCACCCATCCCGCCCATCTCACCCATCCTGCCCATCTCACCCATCTTGCCCATCTCACCCATCCCGCCCATCTCACCCATCTTGCCCATCTCACCCATCCCGCCCATCTCACCCATCCTGCCCATCTCACCCATCTTGCCCATCTCACCCATCTTGCCCATCGCACCCATCCCGCCCATCTCACCCATCTTGCCCATCTCACCCATCCCGCCCATCTCACCCATCTTGCCCATCTCACCCATCCCGCCCATCTCACCCATCCTGCCCATCTCACCCATCTTGCCCATCTCACCCATCCCGCCCATCTCACCCATCCCGCCCATCTCACCCATCCCGCCCATCTCACCCATCCTGCCCATCTCACCCATCTTGCCCATCTCACCCATCCCGCCCATCTCACCCATCCCGCCCATCTCACCCATCTTGCCCATCTCACCCATCCCGCCCATCTCACCCATCCTGCCCATCTCACCCATCTTGCCCATCTCACCCATCCCGCCCATCTCACCCATCTTGCCCATCTCACCCATCCCGCCCATCTCACCCATCCTGCCCATCTCACCCATCTTGCCCATCTCACCCATCCCGCCCATTTCACCCATCCCGCCCATCTCACCCATCCCGCCCATCTCACCCATCCCGCCCATCTCACCCATCTTGCCCATCTCACCCATCACGCCCATCTCACCCATCCCGCCCATCTCACCCATCCCGCCCATCTCACCCATCTTGCCCATCTCACCCATCCCGCCCATCTCACCCATCCTGCCCATCTCACCCATCCCGCCCATCTCACCCATCTTGCCCATCTCACCCATCCCGCCCATCTCACCCATCCTGCCCATCTCACCCATCTTGCCCATCTCACCCATCCCGCCCATCTCACCCATCCCGCCCATCTCACCCATCCCGCCCATCTCACCCATCCCGCCCATCTCACCCATCTTGCCCATCTCACCCATCCCGCCCATCTCACCCATCCCGCCCATCTCACCCATCTTGCCCATCTCACCCATCCCGCCCATCTCACCCATCCTGCCCATCTCACCCATCTTGCCCATCTCACCCATCCCGCCCATCTCACCCATCTTGCCCATCTCACCCATCCCGCCCATCTCACCCATCCTGCCCATCTCACCCATCTTGCCCATCTCACCCATCCCGCCCATCTCACCCATCCCGCCCATCTCACCCATCCCGCCCATCTCATCCATCCCGCCCATCTCACCCATCTTGCCCATCTCACCCATCCCGCCCATCTCACCCATCCCGCCCATCTCACCCATCTTGCCCATCTCACCCATCCCGCCCATCTCACCCATCCTGCCCATCTCACCCATCCCGCCCATCTCACCCATCTTGCCCATCTCACCCATCCCGCCCATCTCACCCATCCTGCCCATCTCACCCATCTTGCCCATCTCACCCATCCCGCCCATCTCACCCATCCCGCCCATCTCACCCATCCCGCCCATCTCACCCATCCCGCCCATCTCACCCATCTTGCCCATCTCACCCATCCCGCCCATCTCACCCATCCCGCCCATCTCACCCATCTTGCCCATCTCACCCATCCCGCCCATCTCACCCATCCTGCCCATCTCACCCATCCCGCCCATCTCACCCATCCCGCCCATCTCACCCATCCCGCCCATCTCACCCATCCCGCCCATCTCACCCATCCCTCTCATCTCACCCATCCTGCCCATCTCACCCATCTTGCCCAGGTGCCACCTGTGGGATGTGTGCCGCTTGCCAGCCACATGTGGCAGGGCGCGCACGAGTTCCGCTGCTCGCTTCTCAAGTGCCTTCGCTCCATCGCTGCTGCCGCTGTCTCTCCCGCCCACTTCCATGCCCCCACCCATAGCCCCTCGCCCACCCAAACCCCCACCCAGATGCCATTTCCCACCCTGGGAAAAGGCGGAGCGACTGTGGGTAGAGTGGGAGGAGGCGAGGAACGAAGGCTGGGCTGGGACATGAGTGGGGGGGTGAAGGGGGGGAGGACAGTAAGGACAAAGATGACGGAGAAGGGTGGAGAGGGGCAACAGAGGGTGGAGGAGGCGAGAACGGAGTGTGTGTGTTGTGGGCAGTATCTCTTGTGAGCATGTGAGGGATCGCGTGTGGAGAGAGGGGAATGAGGAGCAGTTCCTTTGCCTCTAACACCCATTCCCCTCCTCCTACCCCAAGAGCTCAGCAACTCCTACTTCCACCGCTCGTGCTTGTCCTCCTGCTGGTGGTGCTGCTTGTGCTGCATGTAGCAGTGGAGGCAGCAGAAGCGGCAGAAGCAGCAGAGGCAGTGGAGGCTGCTGGTCCACGCAGAAGAGGGCACGCACCTGACTGTTAGCACTCTGCACCGCACTGCATCTCGCCACCCTTTCTACACCTGCCGTTGTCCTCCATTTCAACCAATTCCAAACCGCCTTCCTGCCCACCGTGTCCCTTGAAGAAACTACTGCTTTGAAACACCTCAGCGCACCACCTTCTCCCTGCCAGTCCCATCCCCTTGAGGGACCGCAGTGTTCGGCCCCTCTCTCTCCGTCTCCTGATCTTGCCTCAGCCCCACCCACCCCAACATGACCTCAGCCCCACCAACACCCGCCTCTGAAGCTCTTCAAAGCCTAGCCGCTCCATCCTCTTGAGTCGATGATGGTTGAATCCGTTCCCCTGTCTGTCAAGGAGGGTGGAGGAGGCTCCAGTCCAGCTGCTTGCACGAGTGCAGGCCAAGCTTGTTGAGTTGAGGCGGGTTCAGCTCTGCAAAGTGGCAGGGGAGGGAGCGCATGGTTGAGCTGATGGACGCAGGACAGGACAGCAGAGCGAGATTCAGCTGAGCGATTGGAGTAAGACTCCGACACCGATGCTGTCTGGTTGGTAGGAACGTTGTGTAGGTTGAGCTCCTGGAGAGAGGAGAGGAGGCGTGGGCGAGAGAGAATCAGGGACCAGCAGAGGGAATGCGCTTGTAGTAGTGTGAAGTGAGGGATGGGTACGGTGCAATCTGCAGAGTGTTTGGCTGAAAAATAGCCCTTAGGATCTTTGCAGAGGAGAACTCTTGGGTAGAAAACTTGTAATAGCGGAAGCGTTTAATGAGGATTGTGAACCGACCTTGCACTGGTGTGTGAGAGCAAAGTAGATTAAATTAAACAAGCAAATACAAGGATTTATATAAGAGTACAGGGAATACGAATAGATAGATAGATAACTGTATTGCTGTTGCGGTTCGATATAGTGCGACTCGGGCAACTGCCCTGTAACGAGTCAGTTGTGTGTCCTTAATTGTCGCGCTGTAATTGTCGAGTCAAAGGTCAGCGACCTTTGACTTTCTCGTAACCTCCAGGCGGTTACCCTAACCTCCGAGGTTGACTCGATGCTTCGATTGGGACTGCTTCGCTTGGTGCCTTGGGTTTTGATACGACAGAAGCGCACTTAGGACTTATTGTTTCCAACACTCCCCTTCGCTTCTGGAGTGTCGTTGCTGGTGACGTGGCCTTGTCCAGTCAGCATCATGCAGTATTCGAACTTCTGCTTTCCGAGTTTCTTGGTCAAGTAATCGGCTGCCATCTCGGATGTTGGACAGTATGACAGATCGAGTTTCCCCTTTTCTATCTCGTCCTTCACGAAGAAGTAGCGCAGGGCGATGTGTTTCGTCCTGTTTGCGAAGCCGTTTTTGTTGGCGATGCGAATTGCCGACTGGTTGTCGCAGAACACGGTGAAGCTGGGTAACTCGGCTAGCTTCGCTTCTTCCAGTAGTTCGCGAAGGTAAAGTCCCTCCTTGGTGGCTGAGCAGAGTGCAATATATTCTGCTTCTGCTGAAGATAGTGCGATTAACTCCTGCTTGCTCGACTGCCAGGAGATAGGACCGATAGGCTCAAGGCGGTAGACATAGCCGGTGCGTGAGCGCCTGTTGTCGGTGTCGCCGGCGTGATCGGCGTCGACGTAGCCGATTAGCTTGGTCGGTGTAGTCACGTTTTTGTGATAAGTTAGTCCGATCGTCGCGGTGCTGACGAAGTAGTGGAGAGCACGATCGAGTTCCGCCAGATGCTCTGCTTCAGGTCTCTTGAGATAGGTAGCGAGCTGACTCGCGGAGTAGGATAGGTCGGGACGGCATGTGACTGCTGCGAAAAGAAGGCATCCAAGCTTCTTCTGATAGTCGCGTATGCCGGCGGGTTTAAGTAGAGTAGATTGCCCCTTTTCGGTTCCTGACGCATAGCGGTAAGGCGTGGAGATGGCGCTTGGTGTGAGGCGAAAGCGTTTCGCGATAGTGTCGGCGTACTTCTCGGCGCTTAGGTAGATTGCGTTTTCTTCCTCACGGATGTTGAGCCCGAGGTATTGCGTAACCGTAGAAGAGACCGTGAGCGTGAGGTCTTTCTGGAGCTCCCCTTCGAACCACGTGGCGATGTCGTCGGTTGACCCAATGTAGAGGAGATCGTCCACATAGACGATTAGTAGGACGTAATCGCCTCCTTTTGTGAGGCGATACATGCCCTGGTCATGCGGGAGTTGTTTGAAGCCGATGCGGATGAGGCGGGCGTGTAGGTACTGCTGCCACAGACGCGGTGCCTGCTTGATCCCATAGAGTGATTTGAGTAGTTGACACACTCGGTTGGGTTCGCCGTGGGAGCCGTGCGGGAGTTCAACGAAGATTTCTGCATCCACAGGTGCGTAGAGAAATGTGTTCGCAACGTCGATTTGTCGCAATTTCTTTTTCTTCATGGCGGCGACGGCGATGAGAATTCGGAGTGAGGTGTGGCGACTGACCGGAGCGAAGGTTTCGGTGTAATCTCTTCCGTGCTCCTGGTCGAAGCCACGTACGACCCAGCGGGCTTTGAATTTGTCGATGGTGCCATCAGCTTTCGTCTTCACACGGAAGACCCATTTCCCGGTAAGAATGTTTTTATTTTGAGTTACGCCGATGGGAACAATTTTCCAGGTGTTGCGCTCCTCCAGTGCCTTCAGCTCTTTGTCCATAGCTTCACGCCATTTCTCCCTGTGTTCCCCCCCCAGAGCCTGCTGAACCGTCGCAGGCTCCTTAGGGATGCCGGCGCCATGGACTGCGGTGACGAGACCAAGGATTTGCAGCCCAGTCTGTGAGTATCGAGGGAGTTCTGGATCCTCGGGATAAGCTGCTTTGTCTCCCGTTTCTGGGTCGGGCATGAAATTTGGCCCTACCCTTTCTGCTTCGTTGGTGTTGACTGTCACAGGTGTTACGTAACCATCGTCGGCGAAACGGTAGAAGATTTCGGCGTTGTTACTGTCGCGAGGATTATCCTCATCCATGGGCACGTCGACGGAGCAGTATGGGAGAGGTCCGGCTTCTTCTGAGGCGTTGTCGACGTTCTGTTCATCCCAGTCTGCTTCGTCCGCTGCTGACGCGAAGGCTCGGTCACCACGAAAACCACTGGTGAGGTCCCGATTCTCGTGCAAGTTGGCGAGGTACGTCTGAAGGGTGAGTCTTTCGTAGAAGATCACGTCACGTGCTGCTACTGTTTCCTTTGTGTGGACGTCGAAGATTCTCCATGCGTTGTAATTTTTCTCGATGCCGAGGTGTAGTCCCCACTGTGCCCGTTGCGAAAATCTTCCCGCTCGTGCTTCTGGGGGTCTGTACTGTACCATGCACCCGAAAACTCGTAACATTTTCGTGCTGCCCTGCTTCCCTGTCCACAGCAGATGCGGTGATGCGTTGTTCGGGAGTGACGACGACGACAACAAGTTGTGCAGCATGACAGCGTGGTCCATTGCTGCTGGCCACTGGTGGTTGGGTAGCCGCATGCCACGTAGCAGTTTGCGCATGCTGTTCTGCAGGGTCCTGTTCAGTCGTTCTGCAACACCTTGCTGCTGATGTGCGTAGGGAAGGGAGAGGAGTTGCTTGATCCCCCTTTCCGCCAAGAACTGCTTGAAGCGCTGAGAGGTGTACTCGCCACCTCCGTCTGACTGGAAATTTTTCAGTTGTGTTCCAGACTCTCTCTCTGCTATCGGTAGCCAGGCGGCGAATGCTGCGAGCGCCATGTCGCGGCTGGGTAGGTTGCGATGCCAGACGTATCGAGTGGCGGCGTCGATGAAGGTGATGGTGTAGTTGTAGTTGACTTGTCCTGGTTCGCGATTGTAGAGGATGTCGCTGTAGACTTTTTCGAGTGGTGCGTACGCTGGAGCGCTCGGGTTGTGATGTGAAGCAAACGGTCGATGAGGTAAGTCAGCTTCGGGACATATAAGGCAAGTCCCTCGTGCCTTCTGGAGTTCTCTGCCATCGGGTAGAAGTAGAGAGTCTTTGTCAAGGACTCCTGCTCTTATCGTGTTATTCAAAACCGTGTTGCTTGGATGTCCTGTGCGTGCGTGCCAGATCTCTTCAGAGGCGCGGTGTCCGGGTGAGCGCTGATATGCGTCGGAGTTGGAGTAAAAGCTAGCGACGAGGTTGGCGCTTCGGTGGACTTCACGTTGAGTCGGATTCAGCTGTTGCGCGGGTGTTGGTGGTGCTTCGTCGACCGTGACTGGTGTCGTTGTTCCTGCTGCTGCTGATGTTGTTGCTGCTGCCGATGTTGTTGCTGCTGCCGATGTTGTCGCTGCTGCCGATGTTGTCGCTGCTGCCGATGTTGTCGCTGCTGCCGCTGCTGCTGGCGCTGACCACCACCGGAGCCACTCCTCTGCGACGAGCCACGACCTCCGCCGCCGCCTCCTCCGCCGCCGCCGCCACCACCTCCGCTGCCACCGCCACTCCCACCGTCGCCGCCGCCACCGCCGCCTCCGCCTCCACTCCCACCACCACCGCCGCTACCGCCCCCGCCTCCACTGCCGCCGCTGACACCTCCACTCCCGCCACCACTCCCGCTACCACCCCCACCTCCTCCGCTGCCTCCACCGCCGCCTCCACCGCCCCCGCCGCCTCCACCACCGCTCCTGCCCCCCTTGCCCTTGCCAGAGCGACGTCTCCCACTGGGGGCAGACGCCGCACCGACCGACTCAAAACCAACTAGGTCGGCCGTAGCAGCAGAGGCGACAGAGGGCAGGAGGGGGGAGGGGGAACACCCCTCAAAGATGGGGGTGCGCGGGTCACCACGAGAGGCCCCTACAGCGAGAATGCTCTTCTCGGCTGCTAGGAGGGACTTCTCGAGGAGGTCAACAGTGAGAGTGGTGGGGCAGACTGAGAGTAAGTCGTCCCTGACTCCGCGAAGGGAGTCAGGGAGGCGGGTGACAATGTAGTAGAGAGTGAAGTACATGGGGGGGGGGGGTTCTTGGCGCAGAACTCAGCAGGAAGCGCAGCGCGGAAGCGAGCGATACTAGTGTGCAGGTGGGTAATGAGGTCGGTGACTGTGGCAAAAGAAGCAAGGTCGGGAAAGAGGTACGGTAGCATGAGGCGGCTCAGTGTAGTAGTGGCAGGGGAGGAGTAGCGTGCAATAACGGCGTCGTACAAGGTCTGAGCACTCTTGTACGACCCAAAGTGTGCACGCTCAGAGGGAGGGAGGTGGCGACGCACAGCAAGACGTGCAGCAGCATCACGTGTGGCCCACTGTGAGCGAACAGTGGCATCCTCAGTAGCAGCAGGGGCGGGAGAGGCACCAGAGGTGAGATCAAAGAGAGAGAGGCCGTCAGCTCTGTCGCACTGTAGGAAAAGCAGTAGGTCGTCTACCCACACGTCAAAGTCGATGGCTCTGCCCTCAGCGTCAAAGGTGAGGACACTGGGGGTAGCCATGACAACAGTAGGGTGAGGGCAGTGCGCAGAGTAAAGCTCAGTGCTCACCAGACAGGGCAGTGCAGGCGGCTCGGGCGGCTCGGGCGGCTCGGCGGCTCGGCTGCTGGGCGGCTCGGGCGGCTCGGCGGCTCGGGCGGCTCGGCGGCTCGGCTGCTGGGCGGCTCGGGCAGCTCGGCGGCTCGGGCGGCCCGGGCGGCTCGGCTGCTGGGGCGGCTCGGCTGCTGGGGCGGCTCGGCTGCTGGGGCGGCTCGGCCGCTGGGGCGGCTCGGCTGCTGGGGCGGCGGGGCCGGGAGATGCAGCTGCGGGGCCGGGAGATGCAGTGGCGGGGCCGTCAGGGGTAGTGGCGGGGCCGGTAGGTGAAGCGGCGGGGCCGTCAGGTAAAGCAGCGGGGCCGGCAGGTGAGACGGCGGGGCCTGCAGGTGCAGCAGCGGGGCCGTCAGGGGTAGCGGCGGGGCCGGTAGGTGCAGTGGCGGGGCCGTCAGAGGGGACGGCGGGGCCGTCAGGTGCAGCGGCGGGGCCGTCAGAGGGGACGGCGGGGCCGTCAGGTGCAGCGGCGGGGCCGTCTGAAGCAGCGGCGGGGCCGGCAGAGGGGACAGCGGGGCCGTCGGGTGCAGCAGCGGGGCCGGCAGAGGGGACGGCGGGGCCGTCAAGTGCAGATAAATTGTTGTTTGCAGTACGTAATTGGGGTGTTCCACAACGACACAACTTGTGCCCATTATGAATATCAAAAGACGGCATTATTGATAAGTAAATGCAAGTGGAAATAACATGAGTAGCATGATAATTCAATATAACTAACTGTAACATGTGTCCACGAGGCAACAATGCACTGATCAGGTTATTCAAGTGCTTCACGCAATTTCTAATAAAGAGCTAATATATTAGGGACCAAAACATGGTTGCGTTACTGTCTTAACATTGTCAACCTGGCATGAATGTTCGAAGAAAAGCATGCCAAAACTCAGTTGTAAAGGATATGCACATTTCCAAATATTGCAGCAACATATATGTTCTATAAACAGCAAATACCGTATTACAGAATTATTTTGTAACTGCCACCAAGGTTACCAGCTATTCAGATGGATTCTCGAGTGTAGAGCCTCGACAGCCGAAGCGACAGGTTCCGGATTCCAAACCAGCTCTTCCTGAGGCTGGGATTGGATGGATGTAAATTTCTACGTGTGAGTTACTTCGAACTGAAACATACTGGTTGCGTTCCGAACCTGGAAAGCTGCGAGAAAGTAACTGCAGAGACACCTGACATACCAACAACCTACCCCGAAGCCTCCTCCCTCGAAAGTTGACTTTTTCAGACATACTTCAGCAGCCCATCATTTTTGGGATGTGGCGTGGAATGAGTCTGGTGAGTAGGTGAGTGCCTAGAAGCGAAAGACCTGCCGCGACGCAGCGCACTGTACCGTGGAGTGCCGTGCGTTACTGGTTCCATCGAGATTAGGTTTACTAGGTTGGTCGCTGTCTGAAACGGGGAGAACGTATTGTTGGGGTGAGATGGAAGGAATGAGGGCGTGTTCGATAACTAATCAGAACTTGCCAGCCTCTGTGTGGCCAGAATTGAGCTGACACATCGGGGAAATCCATGGGGAGGAAGTCCAGCCTCGGGTTCCCTCGAACCCACCCATCCGATTCGCCAAGCTTCGCTGATATTCGATTTCCGGTAACAGGTGCGTCTACATTGAATTGGTGGTCTTTGTGACGAAATTTAATTCTTGTAACCGTCTACGCGATCGTCGTCGTTGCTCGTGCAGGTAACGCGTCCGGTCCGGTCCCGAAAATTGAAAATGGGGAGGTTCGATTCCGAGCTCACTTGGTCTCCTGACCGTCAGAGCCAGGTTGGGAATATGGGAATTGCAATCGCGTTTTCCCAACCAAGTCAAAATGGCCAACTATTGTACCCTTTTTGGGTTGCGTAGCAACCTTATACATTTGGTTTCACTTTTTGGGAAACTGACAGTGAACAGTGATTTTTCCCTGCCCGGTTGGGAAAAAATACTGTTCAACTTTTTAGTTGCCCAAAAACTGTGAAGCCAAATGTAACCAACCGTCATCGCCCGGATAGAAGACATATATGTCTTATCTTATACATTAGAAAAAAAGCTTGCTGTGTCTTGTAATTGGGACGGTTTAGGGTGTCTTATAGTTCTTATAAATGGACAGAAAGCCGTTTAGAAGATACCCCCTCGTCATAAGATTGCCCCTAACCCCTATACTGGCTCAACTCGTACACACCGACAGTTGTCTTATAATCAGGAACACCCATCTATAAGAAACACCCGTTTTAACGACACCCCCTGTCTTCAATTCGACACTGTCTTATATCCGGGCGATGACGGAATTATTCCATAATCTTCGATAAGTACGGCGAATGGAACAATTGGTTGGACACGAACGTGAACAAAAACATACCCAAACGACAGCACACGAACTTGTACAAAAACGAGAAACACCAGTTGTGAGTGCTTCGAGGCTAAGCTAGAATGCATCGTTTATGCAACTGAGATTGATCTGGTATGGAAGAGGCAACCAAAGCTGCCCCACCAACGATCACAACCGCAATTGTATACACGAGGCACTTAGCATTCACCTCGAAACAGCCACACAACTACATAACCTGGTACATGTACGCACACACATACGGAGATAGAAAAACACGCAGAAACATACAGCTAATACTAAGCATGCAAGCATAGCCAATGAAGTTCACCAATTAATAAACCATCGCTACCTTGCCCCCCATTCCCCTCCCTCCTCCCCTCCCTGATCTCCCTTAACCCTCCCTACACCCCTCCGTCCCTCCTTCCCTCATCTCCCTCCCACTCCCTCCCTCATCTCCCTTCTCAGCTCACGCGCCCTGCACAAACGAAAACAGAGAAGTTCACACACACACGGCCTGTAGACAGCAAAAAACAGAGAAGCAAACACACACGCGGCCTGCACACAGAAAAAACAGAAGCAAACACACACACGGCCTGCACACAGCAAAAACAGAGAAGCAAACACACACACGGCCTGCACACAGCAAAAACAGAGAAGCAAACACACACACGGCCTGCACACAGCAAAAACAGAGAAGCAAACACACACACGGCCTGCACACAGCAAAAACAGAGAAGCAAACACACACACGGCCTGCACACAGCAAAAACAGAGAAGCAAACACACACACGGCCTGCACACAGCAAAAACAGAGAAGCAAACACACACAAACGGCCTGCACACAGCAAAAACAGAGAAGCAAACACACACACGGCCTGCACACAGCAAAACAGAGAAGCAAACACACACACGGCCTGCACACAGAAAAACAGAGAAGCAAACACACACACGGCCTGAACACAGCAAAACAGAGAAACAAACACACACACGGCCCGCACACAGCAAAACACCTTAGAAGCCGGCACACTAAACACTAGTGCAGAAAGCGACACTCGTTTGCATAAGTAGTCCCAGCTGCCCAAGCACCAGCAGAATAGATGCTAGTGCATATGCCCCAGCGTGCTCATAAAGCTCTCTCGTGCGTTCTCTCACGCACTCCCTCACGCACTCCCTCACGCACTCTCTCACGCACTCTCTCACGCACTCTCTCACGCACTCTCTCACGCGCTCTCTCACACTCTCTCACGCGCTCTCTCACCTGCTCTTTCAGGGCTCTCTCACGTGCTCTCACACGCTCTCACGCGCTCCCTCACGCGCTCTCTCACACTTTCTCTCACGCCCTCTCTCACGTGCGCTCTCACGGACGCTTGCACGCGTCTTTCACACGCACTCTCACGCGCTCTCACGCGCACTCCCACGCGCACTCCCACGCGCAATCTCACGAGCACTCTCACGTGCTCCCTCACGCGCCCTCTCACGCGCTCTCTCACGCGCTCCCTCACGCGCACTCTCAGTCACTCTCTCACTCGCTCTCTCACGCGCTCTCTCACGCGCACTCTCATGCGCAATCTCACGCGCACTCCCACGCGCACTCTCACGCGCACTCTCACGCGCTCTCTCACGCGCACTCTCACGCGCTCCCTCACGCGCTCCCTCACGCGCACTTTCACGCACTCTCTCACGCGCACTCCCACGCGCACTCCCACGCGCAATCTCACGAGCACTCTCACGCGCTCTTTCACGTGCTCTCTCACGCGCTCTCTCACGCGCAATCTCACACGCACTCTCACGCGAACCCTCACGCGCACTCCCATGCGCACTCTCACTCACTCTCACACGAGCACTCTAAATCGCTCTCTCACGTGCACTCTCACGTGCTCTCTCACGCGCTCCCTCACGCGCACTCTCAGTCACTCTCTCACTCGCTCTCTCACGCGCTCCCTCACGCGCCCTCTCACGCGCTCTCTTACGCGCACTCCCACGCGCACTCTCACGCGCTCTCCCGCGCGCACTCTCACGCGCTCCCTCACGCGCTCTCTCACGCGCTCTCTCACGCGCACTCTCACGCGCTCTCTCACGCGCACTCCCACGCGCACTCCCACGCGCAATCTCACGAGCACTCTCACGCGCTCTCTCACGCGCCCTCTCACGCGCTTTCTCACGCGCTCCCTCACGCGCACTCTCACGCGCGCAATCTCACGCGCTCCCTCACGCGCTCTCTCACACTTTCTCTCACGCCCTCTCTCACGTGCGCTCTCACGGACGCTTTCACGCGTCTCTCACACGCACTCTCACGCGCTCTCTCACGCGCACTCTCACGCGCACTCCCACGCGCAATCTCACGAGCACTCTCACGCGCTCTCTCACGCGCCCTCTCACGCGCTCTCTCACGCGCTCCCTCACGCGCACTCTCAGTCACTCTCTCACTCGCTCTCTCACGCGCTCCCTCACGCGCACTCTCACGCGCAATCTCACGCGCACTCCCACGCGCACTCTCACGCGCACTCTCACGCGCTCTCTCGCGCGCACTCTCACGCGCTCCCTCACGCGCTCCCTCACGCGCACTCTCACGCACTCTCTCACGCGCACTCCCATGCGCAATCTCACGAGCACTCTCACGCGCTCTTTCACGCGCAATCTCACACGCACTCTCACGCGAACCCTCACGCACGCGCACTCCCATGCGCACTCTCACTCGTTCTCACACGCGCACTCTAACTCGCTCTCTCACGTGCACTCTCACGTGCTCTCTCACGCGCTCCCTCACGCGCACTCTCAGTCACTCTCTCACTCGCTCTCTCACGCGCTCCCTCACGCGCCCTCTCACGCGCTCTCTCACGCGCACTCCCACGCGCACTCTCACGCACACTCTCACTCGCTCTCCCGCGCGCACTCTCACGCGCTCCCTCACGCGCTCTCTCACGCGCTCTCTCACGCGCACTCTCACGCGCTCTCTCACGCGCACTCTCACGCGCTCTCTCACGCGCACTCCCACGCGCACTCCCACGCGCAATCTCACGAGCACTCTCACGCGCTCTCTCACGCGCCTTCTCACGCGTTCTCTCACGCGCTCCCTCACGCGCACTCTCACGCGCGCAATCTCACGCGCACTCCCACGCGCACTCTCACACGCACTCTCACTCGCTCTCTCGCGCGCACTCTCACGCGCTCCCTCACGCGCACTATCACGCGCACTCTCACGCACTCTCTCACGCGCACTCTCACGCGCTCTCACACGCGCTCTCTCACGCGCTCTCTCACGCGCTCGCACACGCGCTCTCACACGCGCTCTCTCACGCGGTCCCTCACGCGCTCTCTCACGCGCACTCTCACGCGCACTCTCACGCGCACTCTCATGCGCACTCTCACGCGCACTCTCATGCGCACTCTCGGCGCGCTCGCTCCCGTGCACACGCTCTCCCTCGTGCTCCGCCTCTCCCCGTGAAAGTGCAACGGAACAAGACATCAATCGACACACAAAATCTAATAAGAAAGCAGAAAAAAAACATGGAAATTCAGAGGCGTAAGGGAGGAAAAAGGGACCGGGAAAGGTAAACGAACCTGAGAAACCAACCCGCGGTGGCGCACCAAGCCGCGGGCGCGCACAAACCCGCGGTCGCGCACCAACCCGCGCTCCACTCGTGCGCCTGTCGCCAGAGGCGACAGCGGGAAGGGAAGGGAAGGCGACGACGGGCAGGGTTGGAGGCGACGATGGGGAGGGAGAGGCGACGGAGAAGGGAGAGGCGACGGCGGAGGGAGAGGCGGCGGCGGAGGGAGAGGCGACGGCGGAGGGAGAAGCGACGGCGGAGGGAGAGGCGACGGCGGAGGGAGGCGGAGGGAGAGGCGACGGCGGAGGGAGAGGCGACGACGGAGGGAGAGGCGACGGCGGAGGGAGGCGGAGGGAGAGGCGACGGCGGAGGGAGAGGCGACGGCGGAGGGAGAGGCGACGGCGGAGGGAGGCGGAGGGAGAGGCGACGGCGGAGGGAGAGGCGATGGCGGGGTGGGAGGGAGAGGTGATGGCGGGGTGGGAAGAAAATGGCGACGGTGGGTGAGTGGGAGAAGCAATGGCGGGGTGGGAGCGAGAGCAATGGTGGGTTGGGAGGAAAACGTGATAGCTGGGTGGGGAAGGTGGTTTGTGCAACTTCAGGCAAGGGATTGGGGAAGTGGCAGAACAATACCCTATAAAAATACTCTCTCTGCCCGCGAAAGGCAGTTTCTACTATGACAAACGAACATGAGACGAATTGGAAACAAAACGATATTTGGGCAGTCAGAAGAAATCATTAGTTTAGGAAGGTGGTGTCATGTGAAACGCACTCAGAGAATCACGTGACATTTGAGTCAGCAATAAAACTACAACTCACTAGAGCAAAAACTCGATAGGGCAATGTGAGAGGTTAAAGATAGAGAATAGTAATAATATTAAATTATTCCCCACACAATATTCAGCATAAAACATAAAAGCACGCACGATAATTTCTATATAAATCTATACCCACGAATTTCAAACCTTAACATAGTCTAACCAAGGGAGAATAGAGTATATTGCTTTAACACATTGTATTGCTTCCAATCCATACAACGAACTGCAAAATATATATATGATATAAATTCAACTTACAAACCATACGTCAATTATTCGGTGCCGATATATTAACATTATCATATTTCAATCAATAAGAATAACTTGGGTACATGGCTTGAGATAACATATTACATACATCTCCTCAAAATATTTATAACTATGAATGTAACTGACTACGCAACCCTCCCGACATTAACGTCGAGTCTTGTCCACCTTTCCAAGCTTCATCTCAGCAGAAACTCGTCGGTGCGTCCGTGAAGTCCGCGCTCGACGAGAAATTCTTCAGCCGTAAACCATAAGCGAGAGTGATGTTGAGGTGAAGTCCGCGACGTCCGCGCTCGAAGAGCCAGATATCAGCAGCTAGGCCTTGTGTAGCGCTTCAGTTACACGCCAGCGCCACGGAAGCCAGGGTGATTACTTTCTCGAGCAGTTGAAGCGATGTCGAGCACCTTGCGGCGTTTCTTTCGCCGCGTAGCGGCGCGACGGGACACTCACAGATGTTCGCACACAGCAACAGAGTTTCTCGCGAATCCCGAATCCCAAATGTTCGTCGCACACGCCTCAGTCTCTCTCTTTCGCCTTCTCGTCTTCGACGGTGTCTCGAGTCGGCGCTGCTGCTGCTGGTCACTATCCTCCTTGCTGCGGTTGTATTCAATGTCGGTGTATGCGGATCCGCAGTTTCACAGATGGGATTCCCGTCCGTATTACGCTCACCGACCGAAATGTAATGGTCGGAACGGAAGCTCTCTCTTGACGGTGGCTGTTGCCTGTTGAGGCGAATCGCCTTTCACGTCGGTCGGATGATGATGTGCTGCCGTGCCGATCGGCTGCATGCCAGGCTGATCCAAGCTTTGCGTTGCGGCGTTTTATCCTCTGAAGCGTCGGAGATGCCGTGCAGCCATGTATTTGGTACTCTTATAGACGGTGGGCCAGAGGGTTGCAAGGACGCGGTAACGCTCACGGTACGCTGCAGCTTTCCGTGTTTCACTACTCCCTGGCGTCAAATCAGCAGCCTGGCCTGTTGCCGATGCTCAGATGCGTGCTATCCAACGCTGACATGAAAGATTGGCTTTGTGGTACATGATGTCATGATGAAACAGAAGGTCGCAAGATGATGGCATGGAACAGATCCGACAGACTCAGCAAAATAGGGTTTTCGTATGGTGCCACGTGGCACAGCTTGTTGCCAAGTCATGACCGCCATCCACGTGTCGCCTGTTGACGTGTCTTTCGCCGCGCACATCCACGCCGCACAATCGTTTTGTTCACGGCGACTACTCACATACCTTATAACTTCCTGCCCTTCCCCGTTCCCCTCCTCCTCTCTCTCATCCGTGTACGTGAGAGTGGTGAGGGGTGGGTACGCGTGCGGGTCACCTGATGGAGCAGTGAAGTGAGGTGAAGGGGAGCGACGAGGGGTTAACGGGGAGTGAATGGAGGTGAAGGGGAGTGAAGTGGGGGTGAAGGGGAGTGAAGGGAGGTGAAGGGGAGTGAAGTGGGGGTGAAAGGGGAGTGAAGGGAGGTGAAGGGAGTGAGGGAGGTGAAGGGGAGTGAAGGGAGGCTGAAGGAGGGGAGGAGACGGGATGCTGCTGGGGCAGGGCGGAGACCATAGAGGATGCGTGCGGTGTTATGGATGGGTGCAAGGGGGTGGGGGCGGCGGTTGACACAAGCTGGAGATGGCCCAGGTGAGAGTGGATCGGGGTGGGGGATATGCGTGTAGGAATATCATGAGTCACTTGCAGGCGGTGTTGGGGCGAGTTGAATAGCTGGGTATCAAAGAGAGTTGTGGCGCCTACGCCTACGATCACAGGCGCACCCCGCTATGGCGCTGTCCTGCTCCGCACATCCTTCTCATCGACGCCCTCCGTCCTTCTCAGATCCGCTTCCCACCTGCTTCTCCTATACCCGCTTATGGCCCACGTGTTCATGCCCCTACAGCACGGTTTCTCTCCCACGTCCTTCTTATAAGCCACTGTCACTTTCCCTCCTTTCCCTGCCTTCCCCCTCCCACCCAGCCAGCACTGCGTCGCACCTGCATCTCCGACCGCCACAAGTCTGCACGGGAATCGGGCCCCCACAGCGCAGTCGCACTGCTCATCCAGTGCGGGCCAGGGCACCATCCCCTCCCTCCCTTTCCCGTACCCCCTTCTTCCCCACCACCCCCTTCCCCACCCCTCTCAGCATGTAAGCATGAGGTCAATTTGAGATGCCGTGAAACCATGTTTTGATACTCTCGGGAACGGTGAAAAAGTGTTGCGAGGGCGCGTTGATGCTCATGCTCATGTTACTCTGCAGCTTTTCGTGCTTCAGTATTCCCCGCCGCATGCGTTCATGACACGACAGCAAGCCATTATTTAGCTGGTGCTAAAATGAGTAGAGTCCAGGACAGTCATGAACTCATGGCAGATGTCCCTTTCGGGACATGATTGCATCTAGGCCTCCTCCCTCTCATTTTGCCTCTCTCTCCCTTCTTTTGTTTTCCCCTCGTCTCTCCCTCTCTCTGCTCGCACCTCCCGACAGCTCCAGATCATGCAGTGCAGACCAGCAGCACACATGGGGATGGAAGCCAGCGTCTGAGCTTCGCATGGCTGCTCACACATGCCACTCCAGCAATCGCACGCCTACTGTTCTTCACGGCTTTGACTGAACTTGCTCTCCAGCGCGACTGTGCCTCATCCGTGCACACTTGCACAGCAGAGAGGGTGGAGCTTCTTGGACTGGACATGCTTACAAGCGAATGAGGTCATTTTCTTGTTCCTTAGGGCATTCTTCATTGTGACGTGAACCTTTAGCCAAGTAGAAATGTCAATCATTTCCCAGTCTCAGTCTATGTGCGCATAGCTGGTCGGAGTGCATAGGCATCCGACTAGCTCGGCGCGCATTACCAGCTCTTCCCAAGTCTATGCATTACCAGCGCCGAAGCTAGAGTAGATGGCATCAGTGCGTTGCTTGCAAGGTTCAAAAATACGGCAATCGTAAATTACGGTCCGTAATTTACGGTTGTAAATTACGGTGGTTTTGGCAAAAATACGGCCGTTTTTTTGTTGGACTTTTTTTTTCTTGTTTATTTTTTCAGAAAATTCTAGGCAGCTTACAACGATGGCAGAGAAGCCTACAAGAAACTACACTACACTAGTTAGGCAAATCTGCACCTATTCTATTCCCTCCTCTTCCTCCAGTCCTACTCCTCCAACTCCTACTCCTCCGGCACTCCACCTCCTATCCTTCCTCCTCCTCCGCCTCCTCCTCCTCCTCCTCATCCTCCTCCTCCTCATCCTCCTCCTCCTCGTCGTCCTCCTCCTCCTCGTCGTCCTCCTCCTCCTCGTCGTCCTCCTCCTCGTCATCCTCCGCCTCCTCCTCCTCCACATGCTTCTTTCCTCTCCCCTTCCGCTTGCATGGCCCCTTTCCCTTCTGCTTCTTCTTCCTCTTGGAGCTCTCTCCCGCGCGCTTCTTCTTCTTACCAATGCTCCCAAAGACGCTCCAGTTGATGGTGCACTCCTGCACCTCGGCTCCCTCCTCCTCCTCCTCAGCCCCATCATCAACCGCCTCCACTGGTGCGGGCGGGAGAACGGCAATGCCCTCTTTGAGGGTTCCGTCGGTGAGATCGGCATACAACTTCGCACGCGCCTGCGTTTTGCGATCAAACGCATCGCGGGCCCTCCTCGTGAAGGCCACGAAGGTGACATCAGTCATCTTCTTGGCCGCGATGCGGTTCCGGTCGCGCCTCTGCACTCGTGCAATGGCGGACCAGTACCGCTCCACCTCTGACGAGGTGACTGGCTGTGAAAGGGACGTCACAGCCAGCTCCTGGAGCGCTTGCACTTCCCCTCCAAAAATGCACCACCACTCCGCATCCGTCATGTGCCCCCCCGCCACCAAAATCCTGGCTGCCCATAGCGCGTCATCCGACCCGAGGCGGCCCTCCCCCTTGTGAAACTGCACCAGCTGTGTCTGCAGCTTGATGCGCTGGGCAACATCCCCCACCCGGGCATCAATCACCTCGTTGGCCCCCTTCCTCACCTCCGCATCCGTTCTCACCTCCCCCGCATATTGGTTGCGGGGATTAAGAAGCCATCCGAGGGCATGCAGGGAGTTGTGGAGTTGCCCGTCCCAACGCTTGGCAAGGATGCCCTTGATGGATGTGATGAAGGAGCTCTTGTCCTTGGCCAAGAGCAGACCCGTCTTCTTGACGAACACCGCCGCTGCTCACGGTGAGAATGGAGGTGGTTTTCGTTAATGTAGGGATTGGCATGCGCGGCATGATCTCGCATCACAGTTTTGGATCAAGGAGTAGGAAAACCAATAAATAGCCTTGCACTTACCGGCGGCCTCTGCAGCTACCCGAGTCTTGACCGTGATGTCAATCATAAGGCCATAGATTTGGCCCATGATTTGCGCCCGCGTGTGAACCACCCTTAGCACTTCATAAACCGGCGTGAGGAGGCCGAGCACCGCAGACACGCAGTCCCAAAATACGTCGTCGAGAAGAAGCGTCCGCACCTCCTGCCCTTCGGTCTTCTGCGCCACCGCCACCCCTTTCCATTCATCGCTGATGACCATCTCCTGGAGCGCCTTCTTCACCTCCAAGAATCGGCGTAGCATGATGACTTGCGTGCCGAAACGTGTCGCACCCGGCCGCACCAACGAAAGCTTGGTAAAAAGCTCGCGGAATAGAACGACGGCCGAGGCGCTGCCCTTGATCATCATGACGACCCGATGAACTTGCTCCAAGACGAGTTTGATGGGCTTGACTTTCCCAAAGTCGTGAAGCATAAGATCCAAGCAGTGGGCGGCGCAATTGGTGAAGAAAATCCCGGGAAACTCCACCTTAAGCTTCTCAGCCGCAGATCGGTTGTTAGAGGCGTTGTCCATAATGACCTGGACCACGAGATCTTTCCCCACTTCGGAGATGGACTTGCCGATGAGACCCGCGAGGTAATCCCCCGTTTTCTTCGCGGTTTTCGAGTCGACGATGTCCACAATGACGGGCGCGGTGTCGTTGAGGGCGATGACGCACACCATCGCGCGGGACTTCAAGCACGTCCACCCGTCCACCGAGAGACTGCACCCGGTCGTCTTCCAACTCTCCTTCAACGGCCTCACAAGCTCCTCGGCGTCCGCCCTTAGCTTGTCGAGGAGAGATCCGGACACCTTGTAAGGGGTTGGGAGTGTGTAGGGCTTCGCGTAGACGACAGCCGCGTCAACGAAGGCCTGTAGCGCACGAGACTTGGAGACGTTGAAGGCAAGATAATTTTCAGCCACAATTGCCGCCCACAGGTAGTCCAAATGCGCGCGGGCAACGGGATCCGCCATATCGCGGATGTCCCGCTGCCTAGAACGCCTTGCGGGCGGCATCTCGACCGTTGTGGAGGTGGAGGAGGCACGGTTGGAACTTGACGGTGTGGAAGACCGATCCCTTTCGGCGGCTTCTCGTAGCCGTTTGGCAAATTCGGACGGACACGACGTCACGTTCTTCTCCTTTGAGCGAGGGGTCCCGTAGATGTGCTCTCGAATACGAGTGGCATTTGGGGTCACGGTAGCAGGGCAATAGCTGCATGTCGCGGTAACTACGCCGTTAGGAGATGTGACCTTCGTCACGTGCTCCCACACCTCCGAGAACGGTCTAACCATGGTGGAATACTGCACTTGCTTGACTGCAGCAGTAAAATGCCTACTAAGCTAAGATGTACTTGTCGTGTAGGTTGTTTGCCCTGCTCTTTGTGCCTTGCTAGATTTGGTTGTGTTGCTTTGGCGAAAGGAAAAGGCAGAAGGGGTGGGATGGGATGGGATGGGGATTGGGCTAACGCTATTGGTTAAAATGGTTTCGCAGCGCAAAGTTCGGTTGTGTCGCGCACGCGGGCGAAAAAAACGAAAAGCTCGCGAATCGTCCCACCGACCTGACGAAACGGGTTGACGGGTGACAACGGTTCGCCAAATGTACAGTTTACCGCATCGCGCAAATTTGTATATTTGCGCTTCGGCAAAATGCGCAAACTGACATTTCGTCAAGGCAATAGAGCAGGAATCCGTTCGCCAAAAAACCAAATGTCGCGCCTCGAGAAATACCTGACATGCGCGACTCGGGAAAAAAAACCAACACGTGTGCATTTGGCCGCACAAATGTTTCTGACCCAGGGTGACGGTTGTGAAACGCCGAAATTCGCTATTGCAAACTCGGTATCAAAATTTCGGTCGTAATTTACGACCGTATTTTTGCACCAACATTAAAATACAATGATTTACCGTTTTTTACCGTAATTTACGACCGTAATTTACGATTCCGTAATTTACGGCAAAAAATCAAAAATACGGTCGTATTTTTGAACCTTGGTTGCTTGTGGAGCCATGCCTCCTTTCCCTCCCTTCTGCCTCCTCCCCGGCCAGCTCTGCACCGCACCTTCATCTCCTAGCCAGCTCCGCCCCACTGCACGGGAATCGCCCCCCCACAGGGCAGCTACACGGCTCACCCAGTGCGGGCCAAGGCACCATCCCTCCCCTTCCCCATCCCCTCCCCTCCCCATACGTGGTGAAGGTGGGCGAGAGGCGCTGGCGGTGCAAGCCGCATTGACGGCAGCCGTGGCAGCGGCGGGGAGCACGGGGAGGAGGGCGAGAAGGGGGCGAAGGGGCGGTGAAAGGGGGGCTGCGGATGGGGTTAGCGGGCAATTGACAAGCTCCAAGTCGCTATGGCCTGCGGGGTGGAGATTAACGTGAGATGTCTGAGGGGAGAAAGCGGGGGAGAAGGGGTGGTGAAGAAATGGGGTTTCAAGGAAGGGGAGGTGAAGGAAGGAGAGGAGAAGGAAGGGGAGGTGAATGAAGGGGGCTTGTGTCAGAACATATCTATAGCTT